GTATAAAGGAAGATGGAAAAAGCCCTTTTTTCAACTCAGAGGCTTTGTACTCAGAAACACTGTAAATAAATAAATAAAATATAAGGAAGGTTTTGACAAAGAAGTAGAGATGACAAACACCCTCAATTAAAAACACCACTTCTGGAAAAGATTGGAAACAAAAGAAAGAATATGTTTGTTCTTCATCTTGGAGCTCAGAGCCAGAGGAAATACCATAGACAGAAAAAAACCTTTGACAGAGAAAACACTAGATTTTTCCCTCATTTGAAAAAAAAAAAAAAAATTCTCTTAATATAAAATTCATTTCCCAGCAGGAAAAACAGATGAAGAGTGTGGGGACCAGACTATTCCTAAGACTTAAAAAGAAAAACGTCTTTTGAAAAATACCCAAGAAAAATAGGACACCTGTTTCTGTCACTCAGTTGTAAGATAAGAGAATGTGCATGGTTATAAAGACTGTCAATGAGTGCCTCAACAGGCAACTGCTGTGAGACTATAGAATTAGTTAATAAGATCTCACAATGCCAAACGACCAGAAGGTTCTCACTGTGCCACCAGTTATGTTGTATCACAACTCACTGATACATTGCTGTAAGACAGATGCTTTCAAAAAGACTGCATATGATGTTAGAGTTGAAGTTACCTAACTGTTTGTGGCTCTGTGGGCTGAAATGGCCTGTTCAATCTGTAGAAACCAACATATTAACTGAGTGACTTGGCACACATTTTCTGCCAGTTACTGCTCTATTTTGATGTAGGAGCCTACAGGCAACTATGCAACAACATATATGCCTCTCATTCCCTTAATGACTGTGTCTTAGAAGTTTCTTACACAAAACTGTGCAAGAAAAATTATTTCCTTAATCAGTGGAAGCAGTACCATTCACCTTAAGGCATTTTTAGGTCAATAGAGTGTTAATTCTTATTCATAACAATTATATTAACCGTAATATGTAGGGAACAGGGTTACAGGTTACACTGTGGTGAAAAAGAAATCTTCACAGGCTTTTTCCTACCGAGATGACAATTCATATGTGAAATGGGGGACAACAGGTAGACATAGTCTGATCTGAAAGCAGTAACAGCAAGGAAATCATATATGTCAGCATAAGAGATAGTAGACTCAGCACATCCCAGCTCAGGCTGCCTTTCATAAGCACTGCAGCAGACCTGGACCTGACAAAAGGTAATGAAGTACTGTTACAGATGTTTACAAGGAGTACCTTCTACAAATGATGAATTATTTGCAAAAAATAATGGAAATTATTCTTTGAAAAACAAACACCTGGAGAAAGAAGGCTGATATAGAAAAAGATTACATATAGGATGAAGCTTGTCTCTAAAACATCTGCAGGGGATTAAAAGCATCTTATCTTTTATGCAGTACAGCAGAGTCAAGGGTTCCCGCATTTGTCTTCCCCAGAGTAAAGGATCAAGACAAAAGATTCTGGGAACTTTGGCAAGTTTTGTTTCTGGGCAAGGAATAGAAAAAGCACTGTTTCAGACATTCTCAACAGTAAGAGAATGATTTAGCTGTATGAGGAAATAGTAGCTGTAGAGCGGAAATAGTAGCTTGTGCTAGTGCAGTTAAATTTTGGGAGGACAAGGCTGACAGAAGTAAATCGTCCATATAGTGGTAACAGAAAGTCTCAGAAAATTGTCTTCTCAACGGTGACAAGCGTCCACAAAACGCTGACATAGAAAAGGACTGTTCTTCATGCCTTGTGGTAGGACCTTCCACTGATATCTTTGATGGGGTTCAGCTGCGTTGATGGAAGGGACTGAAAAGGCAAACATAGGTTGATCTTCTGGATGGAGGGGTATGCTGAAGAAACGGTCCTTGATGTCAATTATTATTATCAGCCAATCTCATGGAATCATAGCCGATGATGGCATTCCTGGCTGGAGGGCTCCTATGGTCTCAATGACCTCACTGACCTCTCGAACGTCATGGAGGAGCCTCCATTTCCCTGAAGATTTCTGAATACAGAAAACAGGGGAATTCCACGGACTTACTGATGGTTTTATGGACCCAATTCTAACTGTCCCTCCACCAACCGTCTCAAATGTCGCAGCTTGTCCCCTTTTAGGGGCCACTGGTCCACCCAAAATGGCTCTTTGGAGAGCCAATTTAGGTAAGGGAGGTGCTGCACACCAGTAGCCCCTATTGAAAAGCTGATGTTAAAAGTACTCCCCATTGTCTGAGCACATCCCTCCCCCAGAGGGTGAGTGGAAGGTCTAGAATAAAAGGTCTGATCGTGGCACTTTGATTTTCCGGTCCCATTACTATTAAAAGGTCCTGAGATTGTCTCAGGATCTGTGTCCCCCCAGCGCCCGCGATTTCTGTTAGCGTCTGTGTGGTTGCCTAGGATCTCGGCCAATCTTTCATAGCTATTATAGATAAATCAGCTCCAGTGTCTATAAGTCCCTGTATTTTCACTGATTGCCTTACTGATGGGGATGATATAGAACAGGTCAACATTGGTTGATGGTTTAAAATAGCTTGGGACCAAGTGACCAAGGGTGGGGCGACCCCCAGCTGTACCTTAAGTTCTTCTATGGATTGAAGCTTGGAGATTGGACTTTCTATCCAAATCTCCAAAGGAGGAGAAGGAGCCTGCAGTCTCACCAGAATCTGGTCTCTTGTGAGGCGACTGACTATCTGAGGGACCACGATGACCCCTGTTTCGGATACATCTGCCATCCCCGAAAGCAGATAGGTTTCTGTAGAAGAAACAACTGAAGAAGGATTAGTTAAAACAGTTTGAACATTATCATTCCATAATGTTATTGTGGAAACAGGAAAAAGCTTTATAGAGAAACTTAGTTCATCTCCGCTTCCTCTGAGATGGTGGGTATCATCGACTCTGGAATTTTCCTTAGGGGAATTTTGTCTTTGCACCCCCCCAGGTGCTTGACTTCCAGTTTCCTGGCTTCCTAAGTGTTTTTGGGGAGTCCACTAGTAATCTGCCATTTACATTGTATTTTGCTCTACAGTGACAGGTCCGGTGTAATCCCTTCCCACATCTTTGGCACAGGCATGATGGAGGTTCTATTTGAGGGCCCTTATTACAATTATCACAATAAGTTTCCACATCCTCAGTACAATGTTCTTGATAATACCCTGTTTTCCCACACCTAAAACATCTTCTCTCATATTTGTTGCCCTGAATAATCACATTTGCCAATGCTTTCATCTTGAATTGTAATGATCCAACATCTCGGCAGACCTGCATCGTTTCAGTAGTAGTGGGATTTTTAAGGGTCTTTAATACTCTTTGACAATCAGGGTTCGCATTTGCAACAGCTAGCTTTAAAAACAATGTTTCCTGTGCTTCAGGGCTAGAAATTTGTTTAGTGATTGCTTCTTTGAGACGGGTTGCAAAATCAAAGAAGGTCTCTTTTTGTCCCTGTTGAACTTTAGAAAAGGGCTGTGTCAATGTGGAAGCATCAGCGACTATCTTGATTGCTGATAAGGCCAGATTTTTTGATCTATCAAGATAATCTAAAGGAATGCGGGACTGTGCATTATTGCTGGAATAAGGGCCTTCACCAAATAAACAATTAATTGTTTCCTCCATTGGAACCCTTCTAGAATTTAGGGCATCTTGAGTATGTTTTTTTATTAAGCCTCGCCATTCACTTTTGAACATTGTAAATTGCAGGGTGTTAAGCACTGCTTTGGCTATGGTCCTTATATCATTCAGAGTTAATGTATAAGCAGAAAACAATGATTCAATAAGCCTGATGGCAAAGGGTGAGCTGAGGCCGTACTCAACTATTGCTTTTTTGGTGTCTTTCAAGATTGTATATGAGACTGGCTTCCCCTCCTCCAAATAAACTGGGAAGGCCCGTAACATATCCATATCTCCATCTTCTTCTGCCCCTTGCCTGGCAGCTGACCATCTTTTTAGTACAATACCATTCCCTGCTTCATTCTGTGGATGTTCAATAATATTATCTCTCATGCTTATATTGGTGGCCAATGGTCCAGTCTAGAGGCAGCCATTTTGCCAGATGTTTACATCTGGTAGACCGGAAGTGTCATTTGGGCCACGATCTTGGGAAGGGCCAGAAGCATCATGCGAGCCGCCATCTTGGAAAGGGCTGGAAGGACCCAGATGGCTGCCATTTTGGAAAGTGCTAGAACTACTCAGATGGCCGCCATTTTGGGAAGGGCTGGAGGTACCCAGCTGGCTGCCATCCTGGATTTCAATCTTAGTTCCCTCCCCAGAAACTCGGATTAATATTTCTTGGAAATTATGGTCACGCCCGCCATTTTGAGAGTTACTGGATTCTTCAGCACAGATTAATGTTCCCCAACATTAGATGTTTTCTAATGTTGTTAGTTTGGTTAGTGGAAAGGGTCTCGGCGCCATTTTGAGCAATAGGTTCTAATGGTGAGGGCTTTTCTCTGGTGTTAAGGTTAGGGGATTTGGGTCCCTCTCATCTTCTCTCCCCCTGTTTGAGGATTTCTAGGACAATCCTCCATGCAATTTGGGCTTTGAAAGCATACTGGTCTCCTTTCTCTACAGATTTCCAAAGCACTCTCCCCATTTGGTCCCATTGCTCATAATTGAGCTGATCGGGGATTTTTTCTTTGTTTTTGTCAAGCCATCTGGCCAAGGATTTTAGGGAGTCCTTATCCAAAGGGTGTGCCTGGGCGAGTATTAATATTTTCAGATGCTGGTAAGAATCCCTTTCAGATTTTGACACCCGGGCTCCCATTTTATATTAAATTGTGGAGGGGGGGCGGAAAGGAATATCTTTGGGGCTGCTCACCTCTGTCAGTCATCAGACTAGGTGTTATGGAGCCTACCAGTCATGGACCTGCTATCCCTATACAGTCCCCGGGAGTCGCCGGCGCTAATGGTTCAATACCATAGCAAGGTGCTGTCACAGGGGGCAAGTTCCCTCAATGTGAGGGATCTCTAGCTCCGCCCCACGTTGGGCGCCAGATGACACAACCCATTGGGAAAGAGGGTTCAACCACCTCGGAGTACAGGCAAAAATGGTCCTTTATTGAGGTGAGAATCAGACTTAAATAGGGTCAGGAGGGAAGGAACTGGAAAAAGGGGAGGAGTTTGGGAGGAACATGCAAATACAAACCAATGGAGGGAGAATAAGGGCAGAGATATTCAAACAAGGGATTACTAATGAATTAGATACTGCAATGCAGCATTTTTGAACCAATCATGAACAAGGGCGCAAATTGAGGTACCAAAGACTGAGGGACATGTGGTAAATTGACAATCAAAGGGATATTATAAGGCAATAACATTCCAAACATTCAACATTAACATTACTGATGAGTATAAAGTACTTTAACAATCCAACTCCTTAAACAAAAGTAGAAAAGGTGCATTCTTCTGGTGTTCCAAGAACTTCCTCGCAGATTTCTATGTTTGCCTTCCACTGCTCATAGACACAATCCTCCGTAGCACACTTCTCCTGGTCTCCCACAGTCACTCAAAGGGCAAAGCTGATTGATGCATGGGAGAGTAATTTTTTTGTTAGTCATCATGAAAAATAATAGTGTTAGGCCTTGAGAAAAACTAAAAAGTTTACTTGAACTGAAGGTAACACGTAAATAATTTCCACTGGGTAATAGATGGAAGAAGGCAAATGGTGACCATGTTGCAGTTTATAGCTACCAGAAACTTATACTGGCTGTTAAATTTATGCAGGAATGAGGGTCAGTAGAGAAATGTAGAATCACAGAAGATTAAGGAAATTCTGTGTAAATCCCACAGAACCTCAATAATTTATTTTTTGTCAGTTTTGAAAAATCTCTGATTTAAGGGGCATCTAGGAAACTAAGATATTTGTTTGAATCATTCTAGTCATCAAATAATGTAAATCCTACATATGGCAGTTGTATTAGACTTTATTTTCCCAAACAAAAAACCCTATAGTGCATGCTGCCAAATCTTATCCTTCCTATTATATCAATTTATTAATAGCTTCCAACATAGGAAGCACTTTCTAACATAGGAAGCACTTTGTAATTTTTTTTTTTTTTTTTTATTTGAATAGGAGTAGCTTTTTTGGTGACTCTTTAAGTACCTAATTGAGCTATGAATTCTTATACTCAATAAAAGTATATCTAGAGAAAACAAATTTCCCAACTAACTTATTTTATCTAACAATTTTACTTTTTAGAAAGTTGAATTATATGTAATAATTCTAACTGCACAGAGACAAAATTAGTGGGATTTTGAGAACTATTCCAGTCTGTGGTATCAAAGCTTACCCTTTCTACTAGAAATGTATGGTTTAGTGGTAGAAGAAAGACAAGCAAACAAAATCCTGCACAGTTGTTTCACTTTACAGATACAGAATTATTTTCTTTCTGTCATTGTAGTGACTTTTTGTCAGCAACTGCTACTCTGGGACTCCTTGGTCTTGCTCTCTCTATTAGCTTCAATCTCAGTCATAATCACTTCTCTACTTTTGTTAACTTTTGAGTGCTCCTCTTTAACCTCATCGTTTGATCTCCTAACTCACTTTGTCTCTTTAAATTTCAGATATATCCCTGTCTGTACTTTGTGAATTGTTGTCTCTATAAGGTCTTATGTGCTTTTCTGTAAGTACAAATACATTAATAATATTCTTTTCAGTGTTTTGGTAACTGCTCAGAGAAAAAAGAGATTCACTGCTTTCGAAGTTTAATTCCTAGCTAAAAACAGAATATCATATTTTTTTGTGTCAGGTAAGAGATACAAACAAGCATAGTTGGAATTAGTTAATAAAGTGACATTGCCAAGTTGTCTCAAATATTCTACATGTTCAAATAACATGTTCAAATAACAACTCATGATTTTAAACCACAAGACTACATCTGAGTTTATGACCTCATAATAGTAAAGTAATAGAAAATGCTATCTGATGATCCAACTTTGAATCTTGTGGCAAAACCCGAAACTTAATGACTTAGAAATTGCTAAATGAGCATACCCTTACATTTATAGTATTTATTCAAAGCAATTTTTATGTCATTGTAGCTCTAGATATTAATAAAATATGTGTTAGGAGTCGATCTTAAAAATACTACGGTTTTAGATCCCAATCTGAATGAAATTAAATACTACAATGTGGGTAACAGAGAGATTTTGGAGATAGTACAGGTCTAAGTTCAAGCGAACAAATTGTCAGCCTAATTCGATGACCATTGAATGATGTCAAGTGCAGCAGTTTTTATTTATGGTGAAACATCTTAAAATTAAAGATCAACATAGAAGCAGAAAACCTTTGCAGTTTCCTACTGGAAACAACATATTCCTGCTTAAATTCATGTATGTGATTTTGCTTGAAATATTTTTACTTTTGTTTTGGAAGCATATCTATATTATAGAAAGTTTGAAAAAATACTGTGTGGATGCTAAAGATACTTTTGGAAGTGACAGCTTGAAATCTTAGGACAGACGCTCTGAAAACAGGAGACTAATCTTCTAAAAAATGAAAAGGTTAAATTAATATCAGTAGGTCTGTATTTCAGTTGCTAACACTGGTAGCTGAAATGGTACTACCATAAAGTGTACATCCAAGGCCTCAAAAAGTAGTTGGGAAATGCAAATACTTTTAAAAATCTTAACACCCATTTTCCAACTTCAGAAAAAAAGCTTAAATAATTATTCAATTTACATTTTAAAGAACATCTTGATTGCTGGTTAGTTAAACATTGATTGTTCAAACACATTGAAATTTAGTAGAAATGCAAGAACACAAGTGAAGTTGCTAAATCATTTATACAAAATCATTTATACAAAATTACCTCTGAAATTAATGTATAAGTCTTTGAATGAACTCTTGTTGTTGCTTGAAAGGATATTTAGCTTTTTAATTGGTAGTAATAAAGCTAACAGAAGCTTCTTAGTTCTTAGTAATGTAAACACTTCTGGTCCTGGATCTAGATTGTAGTTCATTTCTTAGACCAAGGCAAATGATAGAAGAAAAAAAACCTGTTTCTCTTGCAGTATGTTATTTCTCTTATGCTGAGGCCCTGCAACACTTTGATGCCTATCCCAGTAACTCAATATACATATCTCTCTAGTAACTTCAATAAAGCTCTATGTCAAAATTATACACTTTTACCACCTGAGAGAGGCAAATTATATAAAGTTTAAGTGCACTCTTTTCCCTGCTGTTGCAGATCTGTTGTGGTTTACTCACTAGCAAACTGAAGTTCATATTAACGTGAGTAATGCAGAGTCAGAAATTACTCATCCATTACAGTGGGGTGAAAGATATCTGAATTTAAAGACAATAAATTTATGGGATATTATGCTATTATGAACATGAAATTAGTGTCTTAGACATTGACACTGTAAAAATTTAGCAGGAACCAAATTTCTTAGGGAAATCAGCATTTGAAAATAATTTCTGGAGAATATCTTTATCAGGGGATATTCACTCCAAACATTAAGTTTTAACACACCACTTCCTTTGGGGAAAAAAGTCTCTTAAGTGTTACTTAAATCCTTTCTTTTTTCTCTTCTTCTTGGATGATGAAAAACATAGTAAGTTAGTTGATAAATATAGGAGAGTCTATATAGTCCTTTACTTATTTTCGTATGTTTTTTACACTAAGAACACAGTGAGTTTTAAGTATCATTTCTATGCACTGTTAGCACTAATACACAGAAAAAATAAAAAACAAATATCTTCTTTAATCAAATGGAAGCTGAAATTATGGGAACAAGCTGTAATACTTTCCTCAGAGATTATGTATTACTATTGTGGTTACTTGGCCTAAGACGATGGTTTGTGACATTTGTATGTTAGATAGACGCTTCCAAATGCAATTCAAATAATCTTCTCCAGCAGAGCTGCAATGGCTAGTTCCTCATGCCTCCTGTCCATTCTCATACATTTAGAGCCTTGGGTCTGGGGTCAGAAAAGATAATTTATCAGGATTATAATGGAGATAAAAATTATTTCTGGGTATCTGCTCTGATGGTTTTAGCTGCTTGACAGTAAACTTCAATGGGTCTTTAACTGAAGGACTACTAGCTTGTGAAGTTTCTGTAGAGCCAGCAGATGAAATGAGGAAAGAAAAGTCAGACTAACTAGTAACTGCTCAAATTGTCAGACTCGTATACTTTCAAACATATACAAACAATCTTCAGATGCTCTCTAACCTCCAATCTCCATTTGAAGAAATTGAATTAATAATAAGTATTGTTATTCATTATATTTTATTCAGTTTTATTTCACATCTTCCTTTAAAAACATGTAGATGTATTTGAAATAAAGAATTTTTTTCCAACTCTTCAGAACTTGTGTAGTGTTCACAAATCCAGATTATAAACTAATATAAGTTTATGATGCAGCTGATGAACCACAGACAGACAAAATGATTGTCTATATTGGTTTGGATGGGCTAAAGGCTAGACCATGCTGACAAATCCTAGAATAGTAATGGGCCTTGCACGCAGAAGGCAGTCCACAGCACAGCCCTCTGCAAACTTCATATTGCATTTTAATCCCTCTGGCAAAAAAGACTGGCTGAGTTCATGGGCATGTCTGATTCAATTGTTGAGCAAGGAACATCCAGAACTAGACCCTGTTGTACTCCAAGTCAAAGAACTTATATTTTAGACCAGTTGAAGATGTAGAGAAATGCAAGCCTTCCCAGACACAGGCTCAATTGAAAGAGTCAAGAAACCAAATGTCTGAGTGAGAAACTTCATTTAAAATACAATATTGAAGTATTTAAGGCACTTTTAATCTTCTGGTTTTATCTCTTTTCTGAGAAAATTCACTATCCCGTCCAAAGGATGATGGCAAAGAAAAATAAGCAGAAATATTAGTAGAGTTAAAATAACAATATATATAACTTAATTCAATCACAGCTGTGCAAAAAATTATTAAGTAGTTGAAGGGATAGAATCAAGGAGAGAGGAGATTATTTTAGGCTGTCAGAAGCACATAATTATGAGTAATGGGCAAAATCTGAGCACAAGAGAAATTTTAAAGATAAAGCCCAGAAACAAATTCTCGCAAGTCAGCTCAACTCATAGAGAATAGTTTTTGCTGGTGCAACCACAAATCTGGTTTGGGTAAATCTATACTGGGGCATTCAGATATCATAATCAAGAGAAATATATACCAACTCAAGAGGAAACCTGGAGCAGAGTTCCTGGTGCTCAGCCTCAGAGGATGTGCAGATAACAGTTAATTTCTGTTATTTTTGAAGCATTGACTCTTCAGTTTTACCATTTTCTGACATTACTAAAAGCAGACAATCTGTTACATAATTGCTATGGATTTGAGTTTGTGCTGATGAGAAACTGGAGCATGGTCAGACAAAGTAGAACTCAGGGGAAGGAAGGTTCACATTCTTCTTGCTTCCAATTTTGGGGAACATTCAGCTACTGAAACTCGAAAAAGCCAAGGACCAGGTAGATATAGCAGTGCTCTGGCTTCAACATTTCTTCTTTGAAGTGTAGTGATTTAAAACTATGCAAGGATTGAAGTGTTAGGGAGACACTTCCCCTCTTCTTTGGCTTTAATAGTTTACATTGTCCAACCGGACACAACATACCCTTTAGAACCCACATATACCCAACAGCAACAGAACGAAATGTCCGAGGTCTGCTCTCGTTGTCCCACTGCCACCTGTTCCACATGTGTTTTATATGTCCCTTCACCTCTGGAAACTTGAGGCCTTAGCTGGAGCAGGGTTTGACAGAAGTTCTTCAGAAGATATCCCCACAGTCTTCATGGATTTTTGTATCCCTTTCTTTCTTTTTTTTTAAGGATAAAACAGAAAAAAGGTACTCTGTTTGCAAGACAGTGTGTTCTTTCATACACTTTTTCCATCATCTTTGGAATGCGGTATCTCTTTTGACTGCTAAGAATAAAAAAACAGAGTTTGAACCAATTAAAAAATACTCTGTATTCTCTGATGGTCATCCAATAGCTCTTATGAGAGCTTTGTATTGACAAAATCATGCAACCACTAACCAAGCACACAGTAATTCATAGTTTCAGTTCTGATTATCAGATAAACTAATTCAAGCTAGCTATTCAACAGTTTTCACTAGCAATATTTTACCAAGGGGACTGCTTAAACTCGGATTTACAGTACATCTCGTACATTCAGGTAATCACATTTCTGTTTAAACCCTATCATGACCCCAGACTCAAGGGCATGTAATAGTCTGCACATGTGATAATCCTGCTGGGTTATGTAAGGAAATGATTAAGGGTTTCACTATGTCCTGTCAGCTCTAAGCACTAATTCCAAAAGTACATTCTGCTTTCTTTGACAGATTTTTAAGAGCATGCATGTACTAAATGACAGTCTGCATAATAATCTGAGCATTACACTCATTACTTCTATAAAGCACTGCTAATATTGGTTGTTTAAATAGCATTCTTGTAAATGTTTTACATTACTAATTTGTAGCTTCATTCACAGCTTTAGTGTTTGGAATGTCCTGCCCCTGTCCCAACATATCTCCATGTGGGCAAACATTCACAATCTTCAACTTTCAATATCAAGTAACTAAATTAGATATTAAATTTAGAAACTCTCCTTTGTAATATCCAAAGATTTTACAGGTATAAACTTAGGGTATAATGTCTAGTTATTAGTTGATATGGTAAACATATATGACTCCAGCGAATCTAATCTCTGAATCCCTGTAAGGATCAATTCTTAATCTCCTGGAAATAGGTCACAAAAGCAAGCACACTGTTTTAGTTTACAACTCCTTTAAGAGTTTTTGTTTCTCCAATTACTGTCACAGTTTGCAAATATGTAGAATTTCCCTAAAACCAAGTCTTCAGCATTTGCATATATTAAAAGTATCTGCAAGCAGAAATAAGGATACATACCTCTTGAGTTTTTTTCCTTTCTAAACCTTATTTCATGTTCTTACTTTTAATTTCTTTTTTCATTTTGTTCATTTGGTTTTGAGAAGTTTTTTGGGGAGTTATTTTTGTCAAATTATTCTCAGAATATTGTTTTTTATTGATTTTGTAAATACAGGCAAACACCAAAAACTGAAGATTCGGTGTTCAAAATGGGTCAGTACAGCACTTAAGATCTAAAAACTGAGCTTTTGACTTTGTCATTTTCAGTCTGAAAAGTAAATACTAAGTATCTAAGGATTATAAGTCTTTTTTTATTTCTGATAATAAATTTCTGGTATTTCTGATCCCCATATCCTACCTATGAATGCTCACAAGTGAAGTAGCTCTATCCGCTAGTATGTTTTTAGAGTGCATCTAACTCAGTGGTTATCTAAACAAAGTAGGGCTGGAACTGGCATGAAGCACAAGCTTAAAAGAAGGAATCACACTTAGCACTTTGGGATTTCTTCATTTTCTTCTCTGTTGTTACAAATGCTAATCCATGCTGTGCACTTCTATTAAAGCTTATCTGATGGCAACACAAAGCAAAACTTTTGAAGAGTTCTAGCAATTTGAACCATGTTGTCATGATATACTTTGCAATCACAAACTGAACTGGGGAACTCTTTGGCACAGACTGCCATGGAAGCCAAGTTTAAAGTATGGATCAGCATAAAACTAAACCAAATCAAACATAGGTTTCTTGTTCATCATCAGACATAATGATTTGGAAGCAACAAGTGACTCGTTGCTTGGAGATGAGTGTACATCAAAAGAATAAGCTAGAGAATAACTTGGTCTTGCTACTAGCTTAAATTTTGAATACTGCATCATAGAGACATTTTTCTTAGTTTTCAAAAAAATTTGTCCTTCTGAGGAAGAAATTTTTCCTTCACTACTGAAGAGCAGGTCTTTGAATGAGTTGCATAAGACACATTGATGCATTTTGTTCAGTAAAACATGCAAAATGTCTGTGTTTCATATGCTTCTCGGTTGTGGAAAGGGAACTTAAAAGTCAACAGGGAAATTTGATTTAAAATAACCTTCTCTCTTCCCCTTGACTTTTGTTTCCAACTCCCTCTCTTGTCTCCAAGAATCTATCAATGAGAACAATTTTGATGAATTTTTTTCCATTTTCACAATGTGAAACATTTTCTAGATTTATGATACTCAAAAGTATTTGAAAACCCCAGGAGAACATGGGGTTTTTGTTGCAATTTCATACTGGGGATTTCTTTGTTTTATCAGACTATGAACTAAATTCATGACTTATTTTTACTCTTTTCACTGAAGCTTAAGATAAACACTGATATATTTCTTTGAAATTCTTAGATAAAAAAAAAAAAGAATGAAGTATTTTTACACCTACAGTCTTTTTCTTATAGATTTATAAGAACATATTTTTGAAGAATGGTGACATGTCTGAACTATTAAAAGTATGATTTGGCTTATTGTTTTATTTATATGTTACTGTTGACATTAATATGTTCTATCTTATATAGAAATATATCTATGATGTTCCAGCAATTCCGATGAGATGGTCTGTTAGTACCATCTGATTCTGCAATTGACAGAGCAGCAACAGTAGTTTTACGGGATGTTGGTATGAACACTGTAAACAATTTATTGCAATAAAGTCAGGATGAAAAGAGGTTTGTCAAATTCAGTGGGGTTTCTGTTATTCTCAGAAAATCAAAAATTGTACCGCTTAGTAGATCAAAATTTTAAATCTAACTTCAAGTCTTAGATTACATCAATTCCTGCAAATATTTACAAAAAAGAGAAAGAACTTCATAAATATGTACATTTTGCATGGTTTTTTTTATATTTATTGAAGAAATTAAATTCAAGGTAAATAATCATTATTTTACATATATGCATTCTTTATTAATACTGTAAATAAATATATAAGTTTTGTATTGTTATTAATTATTTAAGACTTTTCTAGATCAGCATGCAAAACCAACAATGAGGAAAGAAGATTTATAAATTTCAGGCACATATCACTGTATACTCTTTTCCTGAGGTCTTGCTTTATTTCAAAACAATAAAACAAAACAATTTAAACAACAGTTCAGACTATTCAAGGTCTTTGTACCTAGTCATCTGGGAGAAGAAAGGCTAGATCCTGCTCACCTTATATTCCACCTTGCACCATACTATCATTTTTCCACTTCACCAGTCGCATTCAGTATATATGCAGGACCACTGTAAACCCTGAGATGTCAAAGCACCATCAGCCCGTGTCACAGTATTTGATGCAGAGGGTTAAAAATTAAAAAAAAAAAAAATTCTTTCTATCTAGTATCCATCTTCTAGGAATTAAAAAGAATTAGAACATAATTTTTAAAATAATTATTACACACAGTTAATTGGTTTTGCTTAGAAGAGATTTACAACATCCCAAGTAACTCAAAAGAGAATTAAATGTTAGTGAAGTGCTCACCATGGAATTAGTGCTTATAAGTGTCCATCTTAATATTTGATTTTTATCTGTCGTAATCCTATAAAAAATCTGAAACTTCGATTAAAGTTTGCTTTAATAGGTTTCCTGAGAAATAGACTAGGAAAGAAAGAGGAAGATTTTTTTCTTTGAGTAAATTTGAACTATTTGGGGCCCTGTCAGTAATCTTGAAAAAATTTGATGACACAAATAGAATGACTAATATTACTTTGAGGTCACATATATGAGAATAGGAAAGTGTTTTTACAGTTGTGAGCCTTGGAACTGTACCAAAAATATGTATTTTTAATTTTGTCTTTGAAGAATTAGAAGCTCATTCTATTATTGTAATGGGATCATGAACATAAGCAACTGAAATTAATTTCTGTGGGGTATAATGTATATACTGTATCTTCTCAGACTTGAGATGACTTTAAGCAAAGTATAATTTAATTTTCAGATTACTGTCAAGAAAATAGTTTTGGCACAGTATTCTGTGTATTTCTTTCAAAATATCTTAAGTGCTAAATAGAAACGAAGAACAGAAGACCAATCACACTTGCCAATGTTTTCAACACTGCACAACCATTCTTTCATGAAAAGGGGAAATATATGCTGCCAAAGGGGTCTGATGTTTTAAAATAATGTAAAAGCAATTCTTAAGCTCAAGGGCACTGTTTTATTCATCATTGACAAGAATAGCAAGTGGTGAGTCATGACTCTTTTTTGAAATTCATTCACTCACTTTACGTGCCTCTCTTTTTAGCTGCCGAACTTGCAATACCATCTGCTTTCAACTTTCAGTAACTCAAGTTGCCTCTAGCTGAGACCAAAGCCATGAATATTTAACACCTGCAAACAGAAGCAGTAGTTCACTCAAGACCAGCAACTAAGATCACTGGAAATTTCAAAACCTGAGTCTGCCTTCTCCATCTCTAAACACAGTCAAGTACCTGTGTGACAAATTCAGAAGTAGATTACGGTGACTTCTCAGGTCTCAAGTCTCAAGGTAAAGGTTCATGTTTGATAGTACTCTTACCTTAAAATATGCTTACCTTTTCTGCTTATTGTCCTCTCCCATACAACTCTTTGCAGGACAGCTATAGTGTTAACACAACTGGAAATAAACCTGGACAGAAAAGGGGGAAAGAAAAAAAAGGGGTGGTTCCATCCCACCAGTTTCCTAGCCTCCTTCATAGAAAGAGACTACAGACACCAGCACCAGGGAGGGACCTAGCAGCCATAAACAAGGGAGAAATGGAAATATTTAAGCCAGTACTCCTGTACCAGACTGTTTCTTGATCCTGCTTAATCAGATAGAGCATTTGAGCCCAGACTGAGAGAAAAAGCCTGAAACAGACAGGCTAATGAAACGAGACAATCAAAAATAGTTGCACATTTCCATTTTTTGACATTTTATGTAAAATTATACTTTCATTTATTTATTTGTTGATGGACTGGCATATTAAGTCTTTTAGACCTAATCACAATTAAATTATGTGAGCGTAAGTTAAATTAAAAGCCAAAAGACCGGGGAAAGGTCAAATACAATAGAACTACATGAATCTCTCCCAGTAACAAGATGCCCAAAACCTGGGCTCTTTCAAAAAGACTTTCCTCTTCTCACACCACACCACCTCTTGAAAAATTTAAAAAAAATAAAACAAAAAATCCACCAGTGATATTGCCATATCTTCTCATTCTAAGTTCAATTTTTTACCACTTTTCAGTAGTAGTACTCTTTTCAGTACTACAAAGAAGAAATTTTACATCTGTAACTTTACTTTTTTTATTTTGTTTCCATAGAGATGATGGATATTTTCAGGGATAAACTTGTAGAAATTATTTTAATACTTGTTCTAGAGTATGTTCCTTTAACAGAAACTTTAACTGTGGAAAAAAATAATTTTTTTGCAAAAGATTCTCTAATACTTTAAAATGCATAATTCAATGTAGAACAAGCTTCATGGTGATGCATGGTGTGGCAACTCTGATGGAATAAGTTATGCAAATGACCTTTAGTGATATTTTGGAACATAATTTGCAAATTGTATACACTGTATACCTCCTCTCTTTTTCTCATTTGCTACTGTCATTGAAGTGCAGCCAAGTGTTTTCTTAACATTTCTTAACGGCAGCAGTTAAGAGATAGTTTCTGAAACTTCTCAGGAAAAGCAAGAATTTGGGTAATATTTATGAATAGGAAAATCAAAACCTTTTTATCTTGAACTGTAGTTCTCTTTTCCTAAAACTACACATCAGGGCTATAGGGTGCCCTTCTATGGTAAGTTATCTAGCAAAAACTGCAAAAAGAGGACCGTATAATGTTCTTCAGAAGTATAAATTAATTAAAAGCCACATGCCTTGTCATCTGGAATTTTAAGATTTAAGGTTGATAATTATTTTGCTGCACTCTGAAATTAGACAATTTGTCCTCCAAGATAATTAGTACAAAGAGGAGCAAAAGGGTCATCTCTCCTGACAAATTTTTAAATTATAGCATTGGAAATTCAGTGACTTTTGTAAAACCCCAAGTTTAGTGCACTTCTAAGACCTGACCTAGCTGTTGCTCTAATTGCTAAACTTTCATATTTTTCATTTATTTCTTTAAATGTGATAAGAAATTATGTGATGGTTTAGGGCCAAAGTTAAAACATTACCCATTTATTGTCATAACCTTTATTCTTGCCGTTAATAATAGTTATTTTCTTTTCAATTATTTGTTAATAACAGTTTAGAGTTTTGCCAGTGTGGGGCTAAAACTTCCATGCTTTTTTGCTAGGTCTTTATGATGGTTCTTTGTGCTGGTTCTCCTTATGCTAGTTCTAGTAAATGAAATCATTCTTTAGTCACTTACGTCAGCCTTCTCCCCCAGCTTCTCCACAGGTTCTATAATGATCTGGAACTGAGAAAGAGTTTTCATTTACTTGCTGATTCTTATCGGGTTTTGGATTCCACATACCTATCTTCTTTGTCCTAATCTCCATAAGGGCTGGGCTTTTAGTAAAGGCAATTATCAGGGATAGAACAGCCTTTGTCAAAATGAGAATAAAGTTTCTTAGCACTGATTAAAATAAACTACTTAGAGACTACCACATTACACTACAAACAGCTACTGAAAAGGACGGGGGGTTGGGAAGAAACCCAACATAGAATGCGTTTTCTGCAATTTTTTTATTTTGAAACCAAGCTTGTTCACTTATTTTTCTTATTACAAGGGGAAATGGTTTGACCTAACCCTTTTACTGTCAAAATCCTGAGGCTCTGCCATCGTTTTCATAGGGATGCTTCTTCATCAAGCACAAAGAAATAAATGTTGCTTGTCCTTATTGGGTTAAACGAAACATTTGCACTACTCCTTTATTTAATTTTCATTTTCCTGAGTTTTTCCACTTCCAGGATGTAACAAGTTCTTTATTGAGAAATTATCATGATACAATATAAATGGAAACTACAATGTCAGAGTGGAATTGTTTGTTGATTTTTTAAATGCTGTTAATTTTGTCTCAGTCTAGTCAAAATCCCCTTCAAGGTTGTTTTCAGAGTACGTCTTACTGCGAAGGTAGAATTTTAAAGACGTATCTCAAGAGCACCCAAATTTGACTGTAGTTCCTTAACACTCAGGTCAGACTGCACCTTGCATTGTTGCATCCTTGACAGAATGTTGTTTTCTGACAATAGTCTGTGTTAATTCTGATGTCTGACTTCTTCAACTTCAGATACTTTTGGCATGTTTTTTAATTAAAAGAAAGCCTCAATTTCTTAAGTTAAGGTCTGTTTCCAAAGTGAGACTTTAATTCTTTTTAATGTTTATTTATGACATCAGTAGCATCTACACATGTTCAGTCGCTGAAAAAAAAAGTCTTTCTGACTCTATGGGTCATCTGTATTCTTTGAGAGCTTGTGAGAGCTTCAATGTCATACTAACACAAGGAAATTTCAGCACAGCTGTGACAGCAACAAAATCACCTGTAAGACATATATCACCAAGTGGTCTCCTAGTATTACTCTGCAGGTGTCAGGGAAATTATCCAACTAGAGAATTTTGCCCATACTACAGCTGCCGAATCAGCCTTTTATTTTTTCCAGATTCCGTGTTGCTTTCAATATTTGATTTAGAAAAAAAGAAACATTGAGAAAATCTGGAACAATTAAGTATGGTCTACCAGAAACAAATGAGATCCATTTTCAGATCACAACAAAAGTACAAAAAGAGAAGAAACAGCTGTTTGTCATTTGTCTTCATTTTGTAAGTCTCATTTTCTTCTACTGCAGCCTCATCCAGAGTCTGTCTGCATACAACAAAATAAGATACATCTGCACGCAGTTTACTCCTTGAGTATATTTGTGTATGCAACATATGCAAAGGGTACATAATATATATCCAATACACTTACCAGTCTAAAAGCAACAACAAGTTGAATGTTTTCCTTTCACACTATCTCAATTATTCAGTTTAAGGTGCAAAATGCTGCTTTTTTTTTAAAGTCTGACCACAGTAAAGGTCAAATTGTTAATGTCTGAATGGTATTTTTTGGTAGTTGTCTCACATTGATAGAATACTAAGTATTTTTTCAGGTAAGACATAGACAAAGTACCTCAGTAGAAATATCTACCATCAGTCAAAAGGGTTTGTTTTCTATCACGGGTGCTGTACTAATTACAGATCTTTTTGTTACTTGTTCCTTCTAAAACTACAGTGTGGCTTTCAACAATGTACACTTTTTTCATCTATTTCTGAACAGTTTATAACTAAGCAGTGTTCTGGGTTTTTTTTTCTGGAAAAGATATTAGAAGATGATTAGAGCAAATAGTATATGAAAAAAATTAAAAATATTTTGTGTTGCATATGAGAGGCCTAAGTCACTTAAAAATTTACTAATAACATAACACATGCATATGTTCTAACCCTATAGGCCATGTTACTAAGAACACAGCTGTGCTGGGCAGGGCACGTCTCCAGGATGAAGGACCACCGCCTCCCCAAGATCTTGCTTTATGGTGAACTTGCCACCGGCTGCCGCATGAGAGGAGCCCCGAAGAGGAGATACAAGGACTCCCTGAAACAACATCTCAGCCTTGGCCATACTGATCTACTAACTGGTCTACTCTGGCCTCCAATCGGGAGGCCTGGAGACACACCATCTATAACGCTGCTGCTTCCTTTGAGAACGCACGCAGGATCACCCTTGAGGAGAAAAGGCAATGCAGAAAGAATCGTGTCTTGCAGAATTTACCACCTAAGGAGTCTTTCTGCTGCGCCTTTTGCAACCGGACGCGCCTATCTCGTATTGGCCTTTTCAGCCACCAATGCGCTTGTAACAAACGTGGGTAGAGCCCTTCCCAAATCTTCATTCGCGAAGCCTAGCCATGATTAGGCTACCTATCTACATTTTCAAAAATCATAATCCACCACAAAGTACATACCTATATTTTATGACAGCTACTGATTCTTTGGCTATATTATGTTCTTTTCAGCTTATGGGCTTTGAACATCGCCAAAGGCTGTCTGCCAAAAGATCACTGCAAAGGCAGTCTGTATGGAGGTGTTTATATGAAATGTTATTTATTTTGTGAGCAAATTACTAATCTAACTCTTACATAAATTTGCTAAAATGAAGTATACACCTAAAGATTACACTGATGATAAAAGTATCATAACTCATTTACCTGTCATAATTTATTCTGTATGTTTTTTATGTGTGTTCATGGATCTCCAAATGCCTTTTGTTATCCTTTCCCATAACTACAGTGTAAACAAAAAGTACTTGCATTTTGATTTTAAATTTATTGTAAACCCAAAAAAGGGACCATGAAAAATGGTGATACTTGGCTCTAAACCAGAGAAAAGCTGTAACCTTTATTGTTTCATTTCCTTGTAACCACTTCATCATCTATGTGTCATTCCTATTATTTGCATGGTAGCAAGCAGCAAAATATTAACATTAGTTTATATTAGTTTATAGCAGATATTAAAAGAGTAAAGTAAGAGATTATTACTTGTTGCAGTACCAGGAGTTACCCTCAAAAAGCAAATAAAGAAGAGAGCTTTAAATGAAACTGTCCAGAATGCCAATGGAATAGCAGAGTATGTTTAAAAACTGAAGTACAAGTAAAACATTCAGAATCCAGACATAAAGAAGTGGCATTTGACCATGAGACCACACTGATATTTAGCTGCAAGTTTAATACAGATGTTTTCAATATTTTCTCATAAGTTGCGTGTCTGAACTGTAAAAATTGTTACCACAATATAAATTTTATTAAAAGGGACAGCCTTTATTGTTATTTTCATTTTATTTTTATCTTAATTTATTACTTGCAATTATCTCTTTCATAATTCTGTATTTGCCACTAACCACCGAGCATGCATTTAACACAAATGGGTTTACATCTGCAGTAACAAGGTTGCTGGGGGCTTGTGCCTGCCTGCAGGAATCAACCTGCTCCAACTGCAAGAGCACATTCATCAACTCGTAAACATCATCAATAGTGGAGAGATAGATACATTTCCAAACGTCACATCTGCTGGCCTTCTAGCACTCTCTTAGGCAATTTATTACATTACTCAGTGGAAGATGTTTTAATTTTCCCTCTGTTTTGTGGAACATCCAATTGTCTCAGTTTGGAGTCATCAGCCAGATTAATTTTTTCTTCACATCTATCCTCTGATCTCTCTTTAGGAAGTTTTGTTTAACACTAAGGTTTCATTGTAAAATTTTTAAAAAATTTAAAATTTACCATATTGCATAGCTGTGGTCAGAAAGTCTTCTTGGTCTTCTTGGACAACAGAGGGTCTTCTTGGACAACAGAGAATGATTGTTGGACATGGTATTCATATATTTGTATTAATACTGAAGTATTTATATGACTAGTTACTAACAAGATGGGATGATTTTTAATTTAACCATGACATGGTATGTTTGAAAGTCTTTCTACACAAAAGAAATTTTTTGCACCTTTCTGGTGTGAAGTAGTACATGAATATCATCTGCTACAAAAGCATGACATTTATAACTTAGCTTTGTCATTGCCCAGGGATTTGAGCATGGCAGAGACAGCTACCAGGATAGCATCAGAAGTCTGGCAGTTGTTTGGTGGTGCATCACTGTGCTTCCAAAACTGTGAAAGCTCTATCAGAGTGCAGTTCAGAAAGCAATAGGAACAGAGTTAACTGTCAGTGACTGTACATATTATAAAAAAAAGAAAACCTGAATTTTGCTTCAGCAAACCAAAAAGGCTTGACTTGGGCATAGTGAATAGGACAGATGCAGTAGACAGCTAGATCTCTGACTCAGATGAAAATACATGGGATTAAAGGGATAGGAAAAAAGCTGTCAGATATGTTAGGCAATTGTGATGGTACACCTCTTCCTCAGTCCTCTCCCCACACCACACTATGATCTGAGTTATATGGCCTCATAAATATCAATCAATATATGTAAGATGTCCTGTTTCACTGTATTTTCTTGCTTATGATGCATACAGTTTAATATCAAAACAGTTTATTTAAGAACTAAAACCATGATAACTGAAACAGAGACACCACTCTTTCTAATTTTCTCTTTATAGTGTTGAAAAAAACTAGCAAAGATTCTCTTTTGCAAAAGTAATTATCTGGAATAACTTCTAAGCTTCACTCGTGTGACTGGAGCAAGCCTAGGAAACTCACTGGTTACACTAAACTTACGAGTAAAATGAAGAGTTAAATGGGACCTTAAAACTAAACAGACAGAGACCACAGAAGACAATAAATTTAAATTTCAATTGATGTGAAAAAAGCATAATGTAAGCCATGGAAAACAGAGATTCTGTAAATATCCTCCTTGAATGCCTAACACTATTTTTTGTATTTTTCTACATATGATGCCTCGCTTGAGATTGTGACCTGCTATACCAAAATGAGAAAGCCATGTAGAATGTACCAGTTTTTATGATCAAAAACTACCAGCACCATTCATCAGTCATAAGAGTATGAAAGTGTTTGGAGAGACAGATCAGCTTATTTTTACTTAGAGAAAAACAAGAGGTATCCCTATGTAGTATTATTTACATTTTATTTCTCATTCTTTGGAAAATTATCTACCAAGTTTAACCCTGATCAACCATGCTCCTGTTTTAACATTTACCCCCAAAATGTTCCAACTGTCTCCCCATTGCATCATATACAAAAATACGATAAAACTGTGATTCTAATTGAGACAACCATTTGATTTACTAAAGGAATTATGTCCATACTTGAAATTCTTCCAACCACAATCCAAATAAGACTCATTCATTTGCTAAAAACAATTTTTCCATTGTATTGTATCTCCAGGCCACACTTCTTTTTCCCTTATCATTTTCAAGATTTCATGTAGTTTATTTCAAAACTGCTCATTGTATTTCTCTGTTAAGATACCTGTCTTG